CTTCAATGGCTCCTTTTTAGCGTTACCTCTACCACTCATTTTGTGTGAAATCGTGACGTTTATGGTTGATGAATCAGCTCAGACAACACAGACAACGTTGTTAGGTTTGCTAGCAGCTGCGTCCACTTCCCACACCAGTTCACTGGCGATGGCTTAGGCCTAAGAACGGGAACAGGAGTGAGACTGACGGCTCAGTACATATTCCTCACTACAAAAAACTGCCGCAATTGAAGCTATCATGGTGCGCTAAAATCCGTGGCTTAGAAGGTTGACAGACTAAGAAAGTTGAACTGACAGGATAACTCGAACCGCGCGGCGAGCCCATTGTGTCTTTTTTGTAGTGATCGATTGGCAGACTGAGAGTCAGGCTGCAATTACTTCTTCTAATTATGGCCTTTATGACACTCCTAATCCATGGCATCCGAGCAAGGTGACCTCCGCAGTGACCTCATACAAACCTATCGAATTGTCAGAGGCCGTGAGTGCGCCCTAGAATTTGATGAATTCTTCAAATTGGCTCGGATGGATCATCTGCGGGCTCACCCTTTTAATCTGCAGAGAAAGCCGGTCCATGGGGACGTTCGACGGAACACCTTCTCGCAGAAGGTCATCGGAGCGTGGAACGGGACTCCCTGACGAGGTGGTCCTCTCAGATACTGTTGACACTTTTAAACACAAACTTGATTCTCATTTGCTGAGAAACTGTGACAAATGATATGAATAATATGAACATAGTGTCAGCAGCAGTTTGCAACTGGCTCACACCTATCACTGATGTTAAGCCTACATTTGTGTTATGTACTATTTTTAAGGTTGAACTCGTTTGCAATTTTTGGATGTGAATGGGGAGCTCAAGGGCGAAAGCCTTATACCCTTAATAAAGTGACTTAAAGGTGTAGTGGTACGCCTAGGGGCGGCTTTGGCAGCGCCAGCAACCCGCGCCTTCTGCCGCCTTCGGACTTGGCAATTACACACAGTAGATGCAATGCAAGTCTAGGGACAGCATAATCTACTACATGCGCATGCTGTGGGGCACACGGTGAACTTCGTCGGATACGACATCCGAACTGACAACATACGAAAACACATGAGTTTCAAACTGTAAATAGAG